GCTCTCCAGCCACTCTCTCCCCAGCCTGTAGGGCTGCATGGGGTTGTTGTGGCCAAAGTGCAGGACCCGGCACTTGGCCTTGTTGAACTTCATCCTGTTGGAATCAGCCCAACTCTCCAGTCTGTCCAAGTTCCTCTGCAGAGCCCTCCTGCCTTCCAGGTGATCGACACTCCCCCCCCAGCTTAGTGTCATCTGCAAATTTGCTGATGATGGACTCAATCCCCTCATCTAAATCATCAATAAAGATATTAAACAGAACCGGGCCCAACACTGATCCCTGGGGGACACCACCAGTGACCGGCTGCCAACTGGATGCAGCACCATTCACCACCACACTCTGGGCCCGGCCCTCCAGCCACTTGCTAACCCAGCACAGGGTGCCCCTCTCAACATGTTCTCAAATCCATAAGAAAAAGACAACCATGACAAAGCACAATTTACAGTAATGTGCCAATGTCACCACAGTATTTTTGCATTTCTTCCTGCACCACGTCCCATCACATCATCCTGCCAACTGCTCTACAACATCAAGTCTGATTAAATAGTGATAATAGGCAACTCTTTGTCACGAGATCGAGGTCCTAGTATCTTCAGAACTAAATACAGAATGTTTCTGTTTAGAAAAATATTCTATGAAGCTACTCTGCCAGCCTTCAGGCCCATGTTGCCCATCAAGAAGGGCACTCACTGTTCAGATGGTATTTGGAGTACCCATGAAACAGTTTACAGCCAAACATATTATTAATGGGTTTTTTCCATATCCTATGCCAAAGAAAAAGTTTAAAAAATATAAAAAATACAGGTATACTGACATGAGGACTACAACACTGCTGACCACAGGCTTATTCAAAAGGGAATAGTTTGGTTTTTGTTCTTCTCAATAACTACTGCTCAATAGACAAGTATAACTGTTAATTTCCCTATATGTGATCAGGGATAGGCTCTTAACACCTTGATTTTATTTTAATTTTTTTTTTTTAAGTCAAAGGCAGCTTCCAGAAGCTTAATACAATAAGGATTATTAAAAGTCTTCTAAAATAAAAAGAAAAAGAGAAGGAACAGGCATTTGTTCTAACAAAAAAAACCCACACAAACTATCAACAAACTCTGAAGAACATTGACATCAGAAGCAACAGAAAATCAAATTCAGACTATGAAACATTAAGCATTCCAGTTGGAAGACTTCAAACTTCATTTTGCAGCAAACAGCTACAACCAATTTAAAGTTTGAAGGACGCACTGTACCATGCCCAAACCCAAGTATTTCTGGCAATAAAGCACTACAGTGCCTCTGTTTTTCTGAATGCTAGAGCTCACTTATTGCCCAGTCCAGCACAGTGAATGAAACATAATCACTGGAACTGTTAAATTTCCTACTTTTGTGAAGTCTCAAATGAATTTGTGCATGTGCTAACAACAAAAAGAATTCTAATGTTATTATTTACACATAATAAGCAAAGACTAGATATGTGTACTTCAAACGAGCTGTCTTAAATTCACAACGAAGACTAAAGTAATGCCACACAGACTTGCATAAGAATCTGAAATTCCTAAGCTGCATTCTTCAGCTACTAGTGCATGCAAATACCAAGGAAAGGCATTCCTGAAACTCATAATTCTTTTTAACAGTTCTGACACTCCCGGTTTAAAACCTTCTGATTCAAGGACACTCCTAGTGGGAAATAGTTTGCTTTTCATTTGGTAGCATAATGGATCAAGTGACCTCCAACTTATAACACGCTAGAACACACGCCATCAACTTTATCATCTACTGTTTACTCAGTACTCACCCAGTTAACCTTATTCTGCAAACATACTTCAGTGCTGCCAGGTAACTCAGTCTGAACGTTTAATGCAATGGCTGATGCTGCTGAAGATAAAACATTAAGGGAAAAATAATTTCAACAGACTCCACACAACTTACCACAAGAACATTCCTGACTGCAAAGAGATTATGTGGGCATTTATTCACAGCCTAAAAGGTCTAGCTCATCACAAGACCCCTTTCCCACTTCTTGAAAGAATTTTATAGAAAGTCAAAATTTATCACATCACTTAGACTCAGTCCACATCAGTCAGAAAATTTCTAACTTAACAATAATAACAGCTGTAACACTGCAATATCTAGGAGCCACATAGAAATTTAAAAAATAAATAAATAAAATGAAAATATTCTCACCTGACATAAATATTGCATGATTTTATTTTTCTTAAGCTTTTTTGGAATCTTTTGTTTTAAACTTGTATGAAGGCTACATAAGAATAGAGCAGAGTAGTGCATTGGACTTGCAATAAAACCTAAACATCTATTTGTTAAATTATGTGTGCTTTATGTTTTCAATAGCAGGTGTCAACAAACCCAAGAAATCCAAATTTAACAGAGAAGCCTGATCCAGCTTTCTGAAGCCAGATTTCAGATGCCAAGCTAGAAGAACAGCACCAAAGAGTTCTGCATAACCCTGAAGTTTAAATTCTGATTTTATCACAGGGATAATGTAATAAGATCAATACATGGCAAGATATTTATTCACCACTATAGTTTGAACAAAGTCCCTAAAAAAAAACAAACCCAAACCAAACCAAAACAAACCAAGTCACCTTACAAGTCCTTGTTATTTCATTAAACATAACCAAAACTCTGGCAAACTGAACTGTACCTTAGCCATGCTACTCACCTTGTTTAGAAGACAGGTGATGCACAGGTCGTGCTGGCTGAAGGGATTTGCCAATAAACTTTTTTGCTTCTGCAACATTTTGAAACATTGCACTTCAAAAAAGCAGCTGAAATTATTAGAGACTGTTCAGTTTAAGAAAAGGATGTTAAGGAAGAAGAGCAGCCTACCTACCACTCGTTAGCTGCATTTGACAAGGCAATAAACTACTGCATCTGGGCAGGAAAAAGCAGAAAAGGTCTGATGCAGAAATTTTTTTATATGATTGAATATGCTGGATAAAATTTGCATGAAGACAGAATCAGACACCTCTCTCATTTTTCCTTCCAACTGAGTTACCCTACAGCTTCCTCTCCAAAAAATTTTTTTCCCTGAATATCTGTGTGTACATTTAGAGAAAGGAGATGGGGACATGTGATGGAAATGAAGGTGTTTTCTAACAATTTAATTCAATGGGTTTTTAATTAATTAACATCAGCACACCTCTTACACTCTGCTGTCTCGATAGGAGTTCTCTTACATACATATATAAACCTACAGAATTGTTTTTTAATATCTACTTTAGTCACATTAATTCAGTTTTGTATCTTCCCACTCAGTTTAGCTACTACAGAAGCACCAAAAACTGCAAAGGTGATGGTGGGCAGACAAATCTCCCACTTTAAGTAAACAATCAGTTGTAAAATGTTCATTTGTAACATCTGTATCTTAATATATCACCTTCCCACTTCCATCTCCTTTGAAATCTGGGAGATTTTATGATTTGAAGGAACTTCAGCTTCTTTTAGAGAAAAAGAATAATAGAAACCACTATCAACACAATAAAAACTATATTGAAATTCTATTTTCTCTAGGAAACTTTACGAGACAAGGGAATAATTGTTATAACAAAAAAAAAAAAAATCAAACGATCATGACTGCAAGAGTTACAACTACATTATCCATTTTCAGCAGGGAACAGGAAAAGACAAGTTAGGCTTTTTGAAATATGCCCAGTATCACACCCCACTTTAACCTGTCTTTGCCTTATAGAAAGAAAACCAAAAATCACCTGTAAGTTTACTATACTATAATTTTTTGAACACTGAACTTCTAATACAGTCAAGTAACAATTTTCCGACACATGAAGTTTGAATCCACTCGGGTCTAGAAACCAACTGTTAAATGGCTACTGTCTGAATTAAAACAACTTAACTAAAGCTAGAAAAAAAATTCTGGTTTGATTCCCTGCTTTTCCTACCTGCTCATCTTAAAAAAGGAAGACTTGAAAGCTGTAGTCAAAAGCAGCAATGAAAATTCCTGCAGCTCAGTTAACCAAGACTACTGACACAGATGCCATATTTCATTTTATCCAGATTAGGAATGCTTCTTTAAACCATATTTATAATAAATTTCTGCATAGAGTGAGGTAGTAATAATACAGATTTGCATTGGAAGAGTAAAAAAAAAAAAGGGGGGGGGCAAGTTTTCCTCTATACCCTGATTGCAAATGATATGCATGCTTTTTAAAAACGGGAAAAACTGTTTAAGAGGCTAGCTCGTAGCTTCTAGAATGCAGCATCTGTATTTTTATAGCATTCTGACAACAAAAAAAGCTGTGTGGTGACAGCAAAATAACACATTTTGCCCCTCTTGCCCCACCCCGCTGGGAAAAGGCTAGAAAAGATCGCAACAAGTTATCCAGCCCAACCTCCTGATTCATGGAGTGTTCTGACTAATGTCAGGAAAAGTGGAGGAAGAATAGTTTAAATAGCGGAGAAATAAACTACCTCCATGAGAGACTAGTGCAGCAGGGGAAGCATCGCAAGACTTCCCCCTTATAAAGACCACATTGCTTTTCGGGAGTTATTCCCACGGGAGACTGGCCCAGAGAAGGGAATCCCTCTGGCACCAGCAAACAGGCCCAGCAGCAGTTCTGTGGGACCCGGGTTTTTTTAGTATCTTAACAAGTTGGACACTGACAGCAGCCCGCATCTTACGAGGGCCCACCTCAAGTGTTCTTTGGAAGACTCCTTCCTGAATGCGTGAAAGAGAACTGACGCGACATTGGTGAAAAATCCCCAGAAACTGACCGTGCCCCACCGCACCCGGAGCCCCACAGCCCCCCGAGAAACAAAACCTCCTCGCCCCCTCCTTCGGGCCGGGGGGGGGGGGGGGATCCCCAGCCCACCTCGCCCGTCGGCAGCGCCCCTGCCCCACGACCCCGGTGGGCTCCGCGCCGCCGCTCGCGGTCGGTGGCGCTGTGGCGGTGCCTCCCTCACGCCGGGCGGGGCGGGGCGGCCCTCGCGCGGGGCTCGGCCGCGTGCTGGGCGGCGCCGTTGAACGTCGCCCTGAGGGAGGCGCTGCAGAGCCGAGCGGAGCCTTTTCCCGGGCAGCGGGGAGGGAGAGGGGAGGTGCGGCGGCCCAGCTCCCTCTGGGGGCGGGTCTGAGAGGGGCTGGACATGAGTGAAGGGGGTGTGCCCCCCTGGCCCGCAAAGTGAGTCGTGTTCTGTCAGAAGACAGGGGAAAATAAGCGACTCTTGAACACAACTGTGGACCTCCACAGCTAACCTCGTCCAGAAGGAAAAGGGAAATCCACAGGCCTTGGGAAGCTGTCACTGAGTCAGAAAACTGCCCTCGCCAACCTGCCCCATGGCACTGACCAGTGACATGGGCAGGAGGGACCAAAGAACGGCCTCTCAGCAACAGAGGGGATGGCATCCTGCGTGCTTTGGAAATTCAAGTGTATTTTATCTCACAATATGTAATCAACAATTAACAATGGAAACACCCAAAGGAGCAGACTACAATTTCCTGGCATTAGTTTGCTAGATTCAGTAGTCATCTTACCTAAGTACACAACATTAAAGTCCTAACTTTTTTGTTAATTTTTTTAATACGTATTCAATATCACCTGCTAGGGAGTCCAGAGGTACTGTACAGAAGAGGTAGGTAACATCAAGTACATAACTGTATAAATAGCAAGTACTTAATTATTAATATTCAACATTAAGATGTACAGTCCTGGCTAGTTTATAAAGACTGCTTTATTTCATCAAGCATATTGGTTCTTTCCTGCAGTCTCTGAATTTTATTAACTTAGGTACGCAGAGTTGAAACTGTCCTTGAAATAGCGGCTATTATATACAGATGTCATGCTCCTACAGTCGTCTCTCCTAACATCATCTTCCAGTTGGTTTCCTCAACTGTTCACGCATGGTGTGCTATCACATTCTTTTTGCAGACACTGATGCAGCACATCTGCATGCTCACTGACCCACTTGCTGCCATTTAAGGTCCTGTTTAAAGTAATTTCTCCCAAGTGAGTTAGTTTATACTCAGACATATCCTGTTTCTTCTAAGCCAGCATCTATTCTCAAAAGATTGTCATGTAAAGCAGTTGCTCCCCTATTCACGTCTTAGCTAAATCAGAACTGATTATCAATTATTAATATGTAAGTGCACATAAATATTAATGTTGGCTGCTACTCCAGAACTGTTACTGATGAGAAATTCAGTGGGGCAACTAAGATAAAGGTATGTTTTTTCATGGGACTGTTGTGCTTTTTCAAAGAAGCATGTCAGGTACTGCAAACCAGATTTACACAAGATCTACACAACCCTTCTTGACTTATTGAAATGGTATCACAGAGATGTAGAATTACATATTCTTCCAGTATTTTTGCAGATTTAAATATGCTAAGGATAAACTAAACAGTAAAAATCCTCACTTGTGTTTTTCATAGGGGCTGTAAACTGGGCTGCTGCTTTTAATCTGTAAGGAAAAGAGAAGGGGCAGGAGGAAATAGGGCAAGAGGAAAAAAATGGTGTGTGCCAGTTACTTTGAAAGCTTGTTGCTCCTGGGCCTGCTGGGAAGATGGGAATATTAGGGCAAGTAATGGCTGGTTTTTGAGGCACTGACTGTCCCAGCAGGAATAGTTATCACCTCACACGCTGCCACCCATGAGTTGGCAATACCAGCAGCAGCAGTGAGGCTTTCCAGCCTCTGGCAGAGGAAGATGGAGTGCTGGACTGCAGCCACTTCACAGATCCCAGCAACCTGCTGTCTTAAGCAACTTTGCCTGTGCCTAGAGAGAATTGTGCTTCTGATTGTGGGAAATGAAAACATAAAGTGGAAAAAACTTTAGCTTTTATCAACTGTCTCCCAATTTGCTTGGTGCTGGTAATTACACTACTAAAAATTTCTACTTCATTTGGTATTGTCTATGTTCTTACATGATGATAATCTAGTGTTCTCTCAAATACTTGATATACACAGTAATTATTTTGGAGGGCCAATGACAGGTCTAGCCAAGAGAGATTTACTGTATATAGCGAAATATAAATATTTAAGGTTTAATAGATGTGTGAACAAAATCCATATATACATAGAAAAAACTCGCTCCCAAACCAAATGTCTTTTTCTATCTGATGAAATAATCAGAGATCATTTCTTTTTAATATTCTGATTGTGCTCCTAAAGGCCGAAGAGTGCAGAAAGCCACACAGTTACACTCCCTGTGGTAGGTTTGGTTCAGGAAAGCAGAAGACATTTATGAAAGACAGTATCAATATTGCATGTGTAAAAAATGACCAATTGCACATCTAAATGAGCGTGTAATTGTAATTGCACGTGATTTTAGTTTTGTAGTGGATGGCACTTAACAGCAAAGTAATGGGTTTGAGCTGAAATGAAAGGACTCTTGGGTCAGCCTGAGGGCAGACTTGTAGTTGCAAGATTAAAAAGCCACTTTCTCTATAATTTGTTATTCAGTTGTGCAGCCAAATGTAATCAGCCTATTTGCATATGTAATTGTGATTTATTTACAAGCACTTTTTTTGAAAACTTTTTTTTTCTAAAGCCACTTTTAAAGTAATTTCATCACAAAGCAAAACCAAACATTATTTCCAATGTTATATGCTTTATTAAGTCAATCAACAGGACACCGAGAGACAAGAATGTACTTGTAAATGTACATATGTGCACACAGAATATTATAGTTGTACTTTTGTGAAGTGGCTGCTTTCAGCTAAACTAGTGACTTGTCCTGTGGAGGCAGCCCAGGGAAAGAATGCAAAAAGTTTTTTATCCCCTGACTGTTCCTAAAGTTGAGCTGTTTAATATATTAATATTCTTCTTTCAATAGATTTGAGAATTCAGAACATTAATCATGGGTATTAATCTTGTTCTTTTTGACTACAGAAACTGTTGAATTAAAAATGGGAAGTTAGTACTGTATTTGGTGCTTACCACATGTAACTAAATAGAGGCTCAAATGTTTATGATCAGCATATAATACTACATACATTCATATATCAAATATATTTTCTTCACATACAAAAATGCTTTCAAGTCTATCAACTGTCATGCTTCTCCTGAATTAGGATTTTGTATTTTCCTTTAAAATTAATTTTCTAGGATCATTAATTGTAACAGATTCTCAACATTTTCCTTTAATTTCTGGGTTTTTTGAATGTGGAGAAAATCTTAACAACATGGATCTAAGGCACCATACAAGTATCAAAAAAATCCCTAAATGACAGATAAAATTAATTTTATAAATAAATATATAAAAGACCTACGAAAACTAAACATTCATTATTTTGGATGAGGTTCATCTCTCATCATGGAGGGGTGGCAATACTGAATTGCAGAGGTTAATTATTGCACCTGAACTGAACAGTGCATTCAGGATGCACTGAATATTCTTAGTAACTGCAGACACTGAACATCAGCATTTCAACTGACCCTATTTTATAGGCTTTGAAACACCAGCTGCACATCCTGCTTCTTGAAAGAGATCCCAAAAGCCACTGGCAGGAAGATTAAAAGGTAGGAAGGTCTATGAAACCTGTAGGCTCTGCCATGTCACAGGGTAGCAGGGTCTGCTCTTAGTGCCTGGACCAGCTCAGGCACTGCTCCCTTCTCAGTGTTGCCCTTTTTTGATGCACAAAACTGTACCTCTGTTGAAGGAACTACCATGTGGAGGGCATGGCTCAGATGAAGAGCTTTAATTTGTTATGATTGCATTGGATAGTGGAAGAAGATGCCATGGGACGGTGGATCCCTAGAGAAGGAAAACTCTAAGACTGCAGCTAACAGCTTGATGAACTTCGCTTTGTATATGAAGCAGGGTATCAGAAAGTATCAAAGCACCTGCTGTTTGCTTATTTTTGTGTATTAACAAAGGCATAAGAGAAAGAAGTTAAGATTTGTGGTCCTGCATAGAATCAATCAATAGAAATTCATCCACATCTATCATTATCCAGAACAAAGTTTCGTAATCTATATGCACATGCACATAGTAAGAGACAGATTAAACAAACAAAACAAAACACAAAAACCCCCCAACACACATATAGTTCTCTTGTGTGTTTTTAGATATGTACAGGGAAAGAGACTCATGCATTTAATAATTAATAATAATCCTAGAAGAGTTCAATTTGCTTTGGGAGACTGAAATTCGTGGCTTAATACATTTAGTGAAAGTTTTGCACTTCTTTTCTGGGTTTGGGCCAGAATTTCACCTGTTATTTGTATAGATTCCTTTATTCTGAATCCTTACATCTGATATAGCTGAATTACAAGACCTAAAAGTCTTTATATATGCTGGAGTTAGTCTCTGAATCTGAAAAGAAACTTCAAGAGAAATCAGCTCCTGCTCCAATGGAATGAGGAATTCTGCTTTCCAGTATTTCAGTCATGGGAATTGGTTTTAGTTCTTAGGCTGATTGAGATTGTTGTCATAGCTTTAATACCACGAGTATATATAGGGTCTTATGACTAAGACATTGCTACCTTTAGATTCAGACTAAATCAGCATGATTCAGCAAATGGCACCAAAACTGTACTGGTAAATAAAGATAGAGTAAAATGTGAATAAATAAGTCAGGACCAAGAGCATAAAAGTTAAAAATAAAGGCCAAAGCTTGGAATGTGACATAAGGAAACACCTTGTGCAAAACAGTAGAGATTATAAAAATTACACACATTAAAACTATGCATTCATGCTTCTCTGGATTGAGATAATTGTTTATGTCACAGGTGTGGAGAAAAATTGTGATCAAAATTGTTGACAATTGTTGACAATTTTAGTTTATATGCCTAATAGGAAATATGATTTCAAATTAATAAAGCTGTTATGTTTCCAAATGTGTGTATGTACATATTAGGGTTAGAATGACCTAATTGAAAAGTAATCCTTCGTAAATTAATCCATTTTTATGCACCCAGATTTGCTTTGTCACCTTAAAATATATTGTGAAATTACTAAAGACAAATTACCAAATATTGGAATGGAATAATTATGGCTAGCTTTTGCTAGACGTGAGGTATGGCTGATTTATAAGGAATCAGAATAAAGCTTCTTATATTGATATTTAAATTTTAATTTATTTACAAGAGAAATATTAATATTTTTATAGCTTTTAAGTTGGTATTTGTCTATTCTTCTAGGTAATGTATATCTAGTAACTTGCAAAGATGAACTAATAAAGCAGCAGCCGGTGTAACTTTAGTGTGTATTTGATCTTTCTGCATTATGAAATACATCATCTCTATTTTGGAAGAGGCAGGGGACGAGCCTTAAACTCCTAAAACAGAGTTTGGAGCATACACCTACTCACTGCATAGAGATAATGTGGCTGCTGTGTGTGCTGTCAAACACTGAGAATGTAAGAAAAAACATCATTCTGTATTTCACGGTGAGGAACTGCCATCTCCTGCCACGTGAACCAGCACGAGAGAACCAAGGTAGTGTGAAGTGATCTGAGAAAAAGCAGTTCAGAGGAGTGCAGAAGAAAGTCTAGCATTGTAAGCTTTGTCAGTCCACTTTGCAGTTGCCTTTTCTCTGCCAGAAATAGCAGTTTCATAGAGTCAGTGAACTAACTCCTGCCTGGGCAGGGACTCCTTGCCATAGAAACTAATTGCCAAAAGCAGGAAAGCTCTGGCAAGAGAAGACCTGCAGTGGGGTGCACTAAGGGAAAATGAACACATTGTGTGCCTTGGCTTGGCATTGCCTACTGCAGATCATCCTACTAGAAGCCAGAAACTGTACAGTTTATGCTCTGATACACCCATCATTTACTTACTCTCAGTTATCTAGGCTTGCCACTTCATTGTAGCAATGGACCCATCAAATTTCTCCTGTTTTTGTAACTCAGGACAGCAGGTTGCTCTGGCCGAGAAGGCGTTTTTTCTCACCTGGATGCTCTTGGTCTTACCCCATTATTTACTGTGTGCCTCTGAAACACTGACAAAGGTAGGGAAAAAGCAAAGGTCACCAAACAGCAAATGAGAAGAAGGAACAACAGCAAAACAGAAACAAAAGAATTGCTGCTGTCATTAACCAAACATAGGAATAATTAAAAAAAAAAAAAACCAACAACCCAAACATGAAAAAAAAATAGTACCTACAGATCCTGTTCTGGAACTGAAGCCCTAAAGTCATCCCAGGAATAAAAATTTGATTTTTTGAATATGCAAAAGTTTCTACTTTTGTATATGAATTGGAAAAAGCAATTCACTGCCTGCAAAATGAACAGTTGAAGTCTTTGATGTTAGTGAGAGTAAGCCCCCTAACTGGCAAAAACTAAAAGATTTTCAATTCATCTTATTAAAAATAAAAAGGAAACCTCAAAACCATCAGATCAAGTTCTCATTTCTATGTAGAAAATAGTTTGTTGATCAGTCTCTGAGCATAAGTTTGCAGAGACACTTGGCCCCACAAGGCAGTTACAGATATTCCTTTGTTTTAATTAATAAATCGTACTTTCTAGGGCTTTAGAAGTATTACATCAATAATATGTCTTGGTCTGGAACAAATTTATACCATTACATCATATCCATCTATTTTATAATATTCTACCACAGCTTATATTAAAAGTTTTTAAAAATGCATTTTTATGGAGCTTTAATTTAGATTTAATGTTTATCATATGAATGTAGTGAAAGCAATTTGCCAAAAAAAAAAAAAGTCTTTATATAAGCTCTGTAAATAAAAGGACTCAAAGGCTGTAAATATTAAAAGTATTTTCAGGCAAGTATTTTACTTTCCATGCTTTTAATTGCCACTGCCAATCAAAACCAAGGTTTATGAGAAACCTGTACTTTTCTGGAATAATCTTTTAAATAACATATTAATTGCAGTTTAATCAACAAATGTAACACATTTTCAGATTTATTTAGTTTTTAATCCAAAGTTTTTAATTAAGCACAAAAGCATTTAGGAAGTTTAGATTTTAAAGGGAGTCTTCTGACAGCCATTCTTCACAGAAATCTATCATTAGGATATCAGTTTCAACGAGAATTCATCATGTGAGCTGCTGTGACCCTCTCTCCACTCGTCCCACCTCCCCCAACGAGGGGTAGATACATGTATTTTGAAAGTTAAACACGGCTGTCAGTATTCCATTCTGAACATTATGCATGCGCTGCTCTGGGTCAGGAATTTGTTGTCCAGTCTTACCTCATTCCTGGAAAGCAACTTCAGGGTCTCCAGTTGTATCAGTTTCTTATCAGCAATACCATTTTTTGCAGGAGAAGTAAATCCTAACTTGATGTTCTGAATCCAAGCAAAGTTAGCAATATGGGCATCACTAAGACTATATTATATAGTTGTACTAAACAGAAAATGTTCTATCACTCTAGTCAAAGAGTTAGAAATTGTTTTATTCATTAAAGCATATATTCCTTCAACAATTTTGAAAATATTATAGACTTTAAAAATGACAGATTCCATACATAATAATGGAATAGGAAACTTAGGGTTTAGTCAGCTCACGTAAATATCTCATTAAATCAGCTCCACACCAAGGCTTTCTTTCAAGCCAAGATTAGGATCTGTGGTTACTTGAAAATTCCATTCAAGTTTTCCAGCTCAGCTAGCCTGTGCACTTACAAGTGTGAAACTAAAAGCAGTTAATCCTAGTGGGGAGGTAAATTAAATTTCACAAGTATAAACACTGGAATTGTAAATGTCATCATTTTATTCTTCCTCTGCCTACTCTCAGAAATCAAATCAGTATTAGCAACAGTCCAGTACACTTAATGCTGTATTAAAATACATGAGCTGGGCATGTAAAAAAATACATGTTGTGGGCATAACAAGATTATGCCTTGTGCAATGGTAATACTGTCTTTTCTGTCAATGCTGGAAGTTCTTGCTGCTGGCACTGTACCAAGGGCTGGCTGCTGTGACAGCCAGGCTGCTTCTTTGGGGTAGAGAAGGGCACTATCCCAAACAGTGCCTCGCTGACTGTGCGTGACACAAACATCACTGTTCCCACGTCCAGAGACGCAGGACAGTGAGCTCTCTGCACTCTCAACCTGCTCTGTCTTCTTAACAATAAAGCATAGGAAAAAGTCAATAATTTGTTTGACAGAGCCTGTCTCCCAAAATGAGATATATCCCAAGGTTTATTCTCACCAATTTTTACTTTGTTAGACTGGAAAAAGCATTATTGTTAAGCTTCCTGCCACAGAGTTAATACCAGATCTATACAGTATGTTTTGACTACACCATTTCTGCCTTTGCAAACTGAATTGTAGTATGTTTATACATCTGAGGGTTTATTATTGATAATAGCTGCAATGTCATGTTTTCCAAAACAGGAAAGAAAAACACTTTTTTAAGGTTATGTCTTCTTTTCATGGTTAACAGTCACAAAAGGTGTAATTTGCTGCAAGCCTACAAGTCCATGAAGTCTATTGCCCATCTCTTCTGATCCTGGTGACAGAACATTTTAAACAAAACTGGAAGTATGTTGACTAGAAATGCAGATTCAAAAGCCTCTGTCCTGTTCAGCAATACGTAAATTAGACTACTTTAGTGT